GCAACACAAAAATAACGCCTTCATTTATTATTGCGAATTAAATCATGCTTAATCCTTTCTGGAATTTTTTCGAGGAAATAAGTGTTTAAGATTTACTTCGTAATTTTTAATACAGATATTTTAAGTTTTTATGTATTTCTGCCTTGTCGCGAAGTGAAAACTGAATTAAATTGAGAAATACTCAATCGTCTGTGAAAAACTCTTTCTTTTTCTTTTTGTCGTTTTGTTTGCTTAATTTCTTTTATACATCGTTCTAGCTTTATTATAGTATTTGAATATAACATGTGGTTATGATAAGATAATTCTTCAAATGATATAAATTTTGTGTATTCTGAGTTATAATATGTACGAAATATTAAGTGAACCTAGCGCCAGTGTCGCTATGGTAAACAAGTATAGTGAATTTTAAAGAGTGCATTTATTTTTTGTGGTTTATGCGCTGTCGACGAAGTAGATTGAATTCAATCCAATAAGTTTAAATGAAATGCGAGAAAAAATGCGTATAATTTAATACAAGGAAGTCATGTGGTGTACACATCATACTTTTTAATTTAACGTTTTGGGTTCCCTTCAGGTATTTTTTACGGTACATTTGAAAGCCAGACGAAGGCTGGTCGCGTAGCTGCTAGTAGATAATAAATCAAATCGGAAATTCAAAATTCGGGCTTCCCAGTGCCTATGTTCGGTTGGAGGTCTACGTTTTTCAAAACTGGATGACTTCAGGAACTGTTTGTTTGCCACAATGCGAGAAACATGCATATATTTATGCAGATATTTCATTAATTAAATTTTTTAAATATAATACAGGTCTCCAATATTTGGTGGCAACAATTTGAAAAGTAAAACAACGCTTTTAAATGTTATGACGCAAGATGCCGTTTCGGTACTAATATTCCTTTTGGTCTAATAGTCCAAAATTCTTGATCCACTGTTGTTACGTTGTTTAATCAGAGTATTTATTTAAGTCTGCTGCTATTAGACGTAATTATATTCATGTTCCTATTCTCTTTTCCTAGAACAGAATTTTTTAACCTAGGTCTACAGTTTACACTACTGACTTTTAGCATATTTATGATGGGGAAAAAAGGCATAAATGTATCATATTAACATTTAATGATAATGGAAAACGCAAAACAAATTTTTGATATGCAACATCATTTACTTAATGTTTACAAGCAAAAGATAAAAACAAAAATTTTCAAGTTCGCACAGATCTTATCTGAAATCAGAAACAACTTTTGTTTTTACGTTATCGAATATAATCTGAAACCCCTTTCTATGATAAATAAATGATAAACATGCAGTGCGAGAAACAAAGACTTATCTTTCATAGAGTACTGTTGGGTGAATGTATTCCAAATAAATTTCTGACGCTGTTTTAAAGATAATATCGCTTCAGTCACAGTTCACCGTACTTTGACGAAAACAAACTCTCAGCAGATTATTTATTTATTCAGCTGACCATTTCAGGTAACTAACAGAAATGCACATAATATATTTAATAATCTCAAATGATATTTCAAAATACATACAGAATTTGATACGAGTTATTTTTATACTTAGCTAGATTGGAAAATTATTAGTTGCCGTACGTCATGTGAAATATTAATTAATTCTTCAAAAACCCTTAGATCTTCTACCACTATCAGTAATTCACTACATTGGGCAAGAATTTCAGTTCACTGTACATATGTTAAACTATTGTACATTTTACTAGAAACAAGAATTAATTAGTAAATACTGCTGTCATCGTAATGTAGCATATGTTAAATTATATACTGTTTAAGATAAAGGCTTGCGTCTGATCATCTTCTTATATATAGTTATTTCAAAGACTCTAGTCTGATTAAGCATTTCATCATATAAGTTTCTTATAATACACAAAAAAGTGTATAGCGTTACAACGCGCAAAAATACGTGAAATCATAGACCTAAAATTTACACGCGCAGTTAAAATCTACCAACTAAATTTCATACGAAGCTCCCTTCCCCTCCCCTTTGTTAACACGTTGAGCGCCAAACGTATTTCTTAGGCAAACCCGTTCAGGCCACGCGCGCCGCTTAAAAGCGCTGGCATCGTAAGGCCAGCGATTCTTATCGCAGTAGGAGATAGTTTACGTTTGGAACGTGATTCCTATAGGCATTCATTCAAGACGTTACGCTCCAAGTCTGTTTTGTAAATAGTTACATTCTACGCAAAGATATTACGAAGCAGAAAATTAGCATTACTGAAGTCCGGAAAGAATGAGCGCGATCCCTTACAAGTTGTGAAAAAGAAAATATTCCATCGAACAGAAATGCAAGAATATCTAAAAAAACGACAACATAAACTCCAAAGAAAACAGGAAAAAGCCTCTGCAGTTAAAATATTGTAAATTATGTTTTGATAAAAATGCAACTGAAGCTGGTAATGGCCAGAAAAAAGACTAAAACAGCTGTCGCATTTTGTAGTAGCTGTAATGGAGAACCGTTTTTATGCTGACCGTGTTTCAATGAAATCCATTAGTCCTGTAATGAATCAAAATTAAGTAAATTTTAAATATTTTTTCTGTAATTCCATAAAACAGTGTAAATTGTATAGTTATATATCATGTTGCACGCTGTCAGCCAGCGGCGGTCGACTCGGCCTAAACGGAAAGTCACAGATGGTTGACACGGCGCTGAACGTGTTAAGGAGAAGGTATACGAGTCTGTATCGTAAAGAATAGAGTATATGAAGTCGCACTTTTTTCGTAAAGAGTGAACGAATCAAGTATTTGAGAAACAAAATGAGTGCAAATGAGTAACGATAGAGCACATTAAAGCAGCTTTAAACGGGCAAACAAAGACTATGCATTAATAAAAAAACGTTATCATAGAAATGGAGAAGTTTCTAATGTGTCCTCTGATAACTTAAGTGGTCCCAGAAAGCTTAATACCAATCAGAGAAAGCGTTATTTCTTTTTAAAGATGTAAGCAGGAAAATACGATAACAGTGCATTTAAGTATGATAAGACACAACTAAAAAATCGGAACGTTTTCAAGAAGCCATGTCATGAATTTGAAACGCTTACAAATGCATGTAATATCTATTGGGTAGTCACAGAAAACTCCCCCCCCCTCTCTCTCTGCTGAACTATCTGTGAAACTCTAGGTGCCTATCCGCTCAACCAATCGAAATGAAATTTCAGTTACTGTTATTTAAAGGTACGCGAGCTCGAGATTGCGATGATTTTAAAACAACAAAACTCTCACTTTTACGGTAAAAAAAAAAATCGAAAGTTTTGAATGCCAGCACCTATTCCTTGCGCTAATTGATACGCGGATCGAAAAACCATAAATGGCGTTGGAATGATACACGTATAACGAAAGTTTTGGCGTAAAACACTTGTAAAGATGAGAGTTGTAAAAACCCAATCCCAGCCCAACAAAGAAGATTAAAAAAAAAAGAACTTTTGTTGAAATTACAGGTTTTCGGCACGCCCACCCACGCAGACTATAACGCACTCCATGCGGGAGGTTGCTGACAGCAATGACGAATGTAAAAACGCAAGAGAAAACTATAACTTCACGTTTTATGGCATCTTTCAATTCTGGCAAGTCTCGAGGAGTATTTGACGTTTACACCTTAGATTTCAGATAACCCCAGAACCAGAAATCCATCGGAGTGGGGTCGGGAGATCGTGATGGCCACGAAACTGCAAAGTCACGGGAGACGACTCTATCTCGAACGTGCTGTTGCAGCATTTGCCAAAACATGTGGTAACGTGTGGAGGAGCACCATCTTTCATCCAACTGTTTCAAGCTTTTACGATGTGTCACATGACACGGTCTTAGACCACAGACGCAAGAATTCGTTCTAGTTGACAGTACAAGAGACATAACTTCACAAACAGTGTCAGGAGATGTAACCGCATTCTACACTGTCATCAAAGCCTCTTTCAGTATGGCTGACGAAGCAATGATCTCGTTTTTCCTCCGAGATCATTCCAGATATAACGAATAATAAAATAACGTATAGTAAAATACTACTGAAGAAATAAGGAGGCGTGGCTAATTACTAATCATTCATGGCGTCAGAAGTGCTACCTGCCTTCGGTTACACACAATACTAACAAAGAAGGATATTAATTTAGAAGCCAAAATATTTAGAGTAAAAATTTTGAAAATATAACGCTGATTTTTGTTGTTTGACTTCTGAATTAGTATTTATTTGGCGTGTTATTATATCTTAATTAAAGAAGGATATCTTTGATAATTTTATGTAGCTGTATATTACCAACTATAAAATATATTTAATACGGAGGAATCATTTTGGGCGTTAGAATCGTTTTTAGTGGAGTTGTTACGGTGAAACACCGAAATCTGGAGAATGTCGACTTTCACCGGTGAATGTCAACATTCACATAGTCTCTTGGTGTATGTCCGAAATATTTTCCAAATACTCTCATTTCTGACTTACACCGGTCAATGTCGACATTCACCATGCACTAATGGTGAATGTTGAACGTATAACAATATTATATTTTCTTCTTCGTCATTCAGTCGCGAATAAACGCACTCGAGACTTTAAATAAGAACTTAAGAACACGAGAACCTAAAACACACAATACATTCAACTGAGAAAGGAAAATAATAGAAGTCAAAAACTTACTTAATTATACAGTACGTTCTAAATGTGAAAATAAAATAACAGTCATAAAAAACTTACTAAATTATGTGATTCAAATCTTATTCATTGCAACAACTTACACTATCATGGCACTTTATGACCTCTCTTTTCGACTTTCACCGGAGCATATCGGTGAATGTCGACATACACCGGTGAGGGTCCGAATGTACAAGAATGTAGTGAAATATTCGGTCTTTCACCGACGTTTTTGGTGAATGTTGATATTCTCCGGTGAAAGTCGACATTCTCCAATTTCGGTCTTTCACGGTAACATAGTTACATTACTTACGCTTCTAAACATTTATATTCACGCAACGTGGCAAATGTTATTGCGTTACATATAAGAAACTTACCTTCCACGCGGCCTGCGAATCAGTCAATTTCCAGATAACTCCCATCGGACGAAAGACCTTTTATTCACCGTTCAAGTTAATATTGTATGGCTGAAAGCATTAAAAGAATTTATCAATAATTAGTAATTTAAACCTTTTATTTTTAATAACTTATCTAATCTAATCTAATTTAAAATATAATTAATTCAATTATACCAATGTATCAAGTGATAAATTTTATGAAATTTTCGCTACTATAGTACATAATAAAATATGTTTATAACACTATATATTACGTCCTTACATACAGAAATTATTTTACTTATGTAAATATATATATTTTTAATAGGCAAGTTTTCATCTAGAACATACATTTCAAAAGATGAAGACCCGAAGAATAGTTATGTGCACTCTTCAAGAATCCATTCGTATTCTTGCTTGAAAGTAATGAAACTGCTAAACAGGTTAAATATTTAACATGATTTAAACTATTGTAAGGATCTTAAGTTTTACTAACGTTTATTTTATTTTAAATCTTTACTATCACTTCTTATTTTCTACTTCCGGCCAGAATTATAAGCGTGAAGGAGTTTATGCAAAGTTGTCTGGCGAACGCCAAGTATTTAAGTGTGGCCTTTTTGCCAAGAGAGGGAGAGGAAGCAGTGAGTTCGAAGCAGGCCGCTTACCTTAGAAGTTACGCAGTTGCTATTTGCCTTCCAGACAGAGGTTTTAATCCTCTTGATAAATTAAACGTATTGTAGTGTTCACAGTCTCTGTGCTACATACGCTTCCTGTTATTATAATGCCAATCTTACACGTGTATTATTCTAAAGTTAAATTTGAGTTTAGTTTTATTTTAATATCTTTTACGTTAGACCCCGAGTGGAGGGTCATTGTATTCCGAAGTACGGAAGTCATTGTATATAAAGAAAAATAAAGGGTTTTGTATACCCTTCGTCTGTATCCTGTCTACTTACTACAATTAGTGAACATAGCTTTAGTAAGCTCTCTGTTCTAGTCAGGTCATTGTATGTTTCCGAAGAAGGTTAGAAGAAACATTGAACCTGATACTATCGCAGAACATGAAAATGAAAAACAGAACTTCACTTGTATAAGAGAAGTACTTATTTGTGTGGTTAATTCTACATAGTAACACAGCATAAAACTTATTTTAATATAAACGTCATGTAATTCTAATTGAATATTATTACAAATAAAAAATATCTGATGTGGACAGAGCCTGATTTAGACTTGATAAGGTCCTAAGCTATTTGCGATATGGGGTCCTTTATAAATCTGTTATACTATATTTATATGATAAATTCATTTATAATAATTAAATAATTTAATTTTTGGAGGGCCCCCCAAGAAAGTGGGGGCACTAATCTATAGCTTGTATAGCTTATACGTAAATCCTGCACTGGACGTGAAGACCACATAGCTTCCTAGTACGGCTTATTAAATTATACGCATTTTTCCTGCATTTCATTTAAATTTATTTCCTACAATTTCATTTAGATTAAGGATATGTTTCTAATTCAATTAATTCAGGTCTCACTTTGCGACAAGGCAAAAATGCATAAAAACTGAATCAAAATTAAAAATCATAAAATACAGTCAAAAACAGTTTAAAAGAACTTTTACATGAAAATTAGAGTTTCTACGCAAAAACAAGCAATACGGCCATCGGGTAAGAAGATAAAATTTTCGGTGCAATAAATTCGAAGTTAAATGCTTCCTACACTGAGTAAAAAGACACGGAAGGTGGTGCACCAACTGACTTAATTCCCTATTCTTTTAATAGTTTCAAATATGAACAAATGGCATCCTCCTTAGCCTAAGAGCCATTTAAACGTTTAAATTTTTGATACTTCTACAACTATTGCATGAAGATTAACTAAAGGCATAAAAGTCTTGACCAGAACATAAGAACAACATCATTCAAACACTTTTATAGCCAAAAAAAATGCACAATTTGTCAATATGTAATAAAAATATTGAGCTGACGAGCCGGGTAAGTGGGTGGGAATAAATATTCTCTATTCGTATAAAGCGAATATAAATTTAATTAAGAAATTTTAATTGCAAAGAAATTATTATTGCTGCTAATTAATTTAATATCATTTAAATTCGAAGAGCATATGTAATATTCGAAGAGCATATGTAAATTAATTGCACGTACCTAAAACCATGAAAAAAACATATTATTCCAAAAAAATTAAATTTATTATTCTGGTGTGGTGGTGGTGTATTTAATTATGGCAAAGCACACTAGGGCTATCTGCCTAAGAGGAGGGATGCCTTCGTGGAGGACTTTCTAAGGGAAACTGGCTCGTATACACGTTGCAGATGGGGAAAACACCCATGCAGCCAGCCCGTTCGCGGGATTCGAACCTCGGACCGAACTACCAGTGTTCAGCGACCTTACCGCTCGGCCGCTGGTGGGCCCAATTTATTATTCTGAAAAATTGCATAAGTGAATAATTGTTGAGCAGGCAGGAGACAGACTTATCAAGAGGAAGTTGCCTCCAAACTTAAATCTTCAATTAGTCAATTCGTGTTTCGTCATCCATATAGGCAAGGGTAAAACCAAATGTTGTGAATTACTAAAAAAGAAATTTAAACAATGGAATTTTGAGAAAAAAGCAAGTAAATTACTAGTGTTAAAATTAATTAAAGAAATCAATTAAGAGTAGAAAATCAAATTTTTTAGAAAACCAAAGTAATTAACTCTTGCATTCTGGAAACTTCCCCAACACGAATTATGAATGTAAACCTAAAAAAAACTATATAAAATTATAAAATATAAATATAATAATAATAAAAAGGGTATTTACTAGTCATTTACTTGATTTTTTTTTTTTTCAAAATTCCACTGCTTAAATTTCTTTTTTAGTAATTCACAACATTTGGTTTTATTTTTAGGTTTTGAATTTTACTTTTACCCTTGACTATATGGATGACGAAACACGAATTGAGTAATTGAGGAGTTAGGTTTGGCGGCAACTTCCCCTTGATAAGTCTGTCTCCTCCCTGCTCAACAATTATTCACCTATGTAATTTTTTGGAATAATAAATTTAATTTCTTGGAATAATATATTTTTTCATGGTTTTAGATAAATGCAATTAATTTACATACGCTCTAAGAATTTAAATAATATTGTAAATTAGCTCGCAGCAATAATCAATTTTTATTTCTTTGCAATTAACATTTCTTAAAATTATATTTGCTTTATACGAATACAGAATATTTGTTAAATTCAAATTTCATTCCTTGCGGCACTGGCGCAAGAGAATTATTTAAATTAAATTTAACTTACTATTACTATAACATGTAGTTGTGCATCTCCCTTTCTAGTTTCAATCGGCCGCACCCAAACGTAAATATGTGTGTGTGTGTATATATATACATATATAATTTATTTACTAAAGAAATATTTATTATATTATCTCCTAAGATTAATTTTAGTAGAATTATCTTAAAAGAGTGAATAATTTCTTAATCGTTACGACATGACAATTAGCCAGAAATTAATTAATTTCCATTCACTAGTATTTTCAAAAAAAAAATTTAACAGACGGTTTCACTCAAATAAGAGCTCCAAAACATACGTCCCTCAAGAATTCCTAATTACTCCTACTCCCATAAATTACTTCACACAAGTCTTACCAACTTATATAAATCAAAACCCCAGCTTCGTATCTATTTCTTAATTATTGTTCATGGAACGGGAGTTGGTTTGTTACCCTTGAAAAGTCAACTAATTTCCGATCAATGGCAATGATTACTTGCATTTAATTTAATTACTTGCTTTTAATTTAATTACTTGCTTTTAATTTATTGCTTTTTACATTTAATAAATAGTTAATAATAGTTAATAATAATAGTTACTATTTTCTTGTGAAACAATATATATATATAATGTTGTATGATCTTAAATTCACTTAGTGCGAAATCGAGAGTTATTCTACTACTTGCGCAATTACTGCAATGTAAGTTAATAATAACTTATTTATTATTTACTAAAGAAATATTGATTATAGTATCTCCTAAGATTAATTTTAGGAGAATTATCTTAAAAGAGTGAATCCATAGTTAGTAAGTTCAATTTCGAAAATTGTTTTAAAGTAACTTGAATGTAAATTGTTAAAAATGTTTAACGGGGACTTTGATTAAATTATAAATAACAAAATTTCAATTGTAAAAAGCAATAAATTAAAAGCAAGTAATTAAATTAAATGCATGTAATCATTGTCATTCATCGGAAATTAGTTGACTTTTCAAGGGGAACAAACCAACTCCCGTTCAATGAACAATAATTAAGAAATAGATACGAAGCGGCGGTTTTGATTTATACCAGTCGGTAAGACTTGTGTGAAGTAATTTATGGGAGTAGGAGTAATTAGGAATTCTTGAGGGACGTATGTTTTGGAGCTCTTATTTGAGTGAAACCATCTGTTAAATTTTTTTTTTGAAAATACTAGTGGATGGAAATTAATTAATTTCTGGCTAATTGTCATGTCGTAACGATTAAGAAATTATTCACTCTTTTAAGATAATTCTACTAAAAATTAATCTTAGGAGATAATATAATCAATATTTCTTTAGTAAATAAATTATATATATATATACACACACACACACACATATATTTACGTTTGGTTGCGGCCGATTGAAACTAGAAAGGGAGATGCACAACTACATGTTATAATAGTCCCATATACACAGTTTCCACGTTCTGAGGATACCCGTTTTTGAGTTACGCGCGAAATACATACATACAGTATGTACAGACATAACGAAGAAAAAATTCTCTTCCGAATTAATTTTAAATCCAGCTTACAATCCGTTTTGGAGAACGGTCTTTTATTCTGGCCGTACGCATAGAAAACACTTCTTACTACACTCAACATATCTCGAATAATTAATATTACTTTTGAATTGTTAACCTACACTTTAATAGTGCTGAATTACCATGACCTGCAATAACACCACTTTTGGCTAAACAAACATTTTTGGAAAGCATGTAAGGCTTTTTTAATGATGGGCATGAGAAACGCTTCTTAAGAGACGACTAGCAAGTTGCTCACCTTGAAATACAGCCAATAAA